AGTCCATCCGGTAGGATTCTACCCAGCCTCATTTCCAGGTGGCAGAGTTAGTTACCTCTCGTGCCTTGGCTGAACCATGGCCTGTTGCTGAACCCCCAGGGGATCCCACCCTGACCAAGCAGGTTCCCTCTCCTTCCTTACCTTTTCTGTCCATCTCATCCCCTCTGCTGTCTGGTATCTGGAGAACTCGGGAGCCCTCACCTCACTAAGGCAGTGAGATACATAAACATCTGGCCTGTCCTCACCAGCGTCTTCAGAAGCAGGCCAAAGTCAGTTAGTTCACCAGAGTTAATGGGGTAGATGTTCCTTTAGCCAGAGCTGTTGCTACTGAGACCCGAACCTCACCACACTGCAAGCAACTGTTCAGAAACCTGAAACAGTCCCCTAGTGCTCTATGGCCCTGACCATGGTTGTGGATCCCAGCAAGAGTCCTCGAATTCACCATGGCCATGGTTGAGAGCGTGGCTCAAAGTGGGCCTCTTCTTGTCTAGGGAGCAGCAGGGTTACCTTCATTTGGTGCACTGTTTTGCGGGTTTCTTACAAAGCATGTTTCATTTTGTCCTTTGTTAAGGCTCAGCTTTCTAGAGCCTGCGTCTTCTTCCCCAACCTCATCAGCAGTGAGAACCCCTTCACAAATAATGTGGTCTGACCACCTCAGTACCATGGTGCAGAGGCTCCGACAGACAGGCTGATTTTAATGATAATTTCCACCCACTCTGCTAACTTTGGGATTTTAAGCGAGCTCATTTTAACCTCACTGAACTTCAGCTTCCTCATCTTTAAGTGGGAAGAATGAGTAAGTACCTACTTCATGGGGTCATTTTAAGGGAAAGAGTAAAATGCTTGGCATGGAGTTGTAATTATTAAGATAGCTCTTCTATTTCCTTCTTTTTGTCAGAACTTGATCTGCCATGGCCCAGAGGCTCCTGAGCCCTCCCTTTGTAGCATTAGAGGCAGTTAGGCTATCGGGACTCAAGACGAGCACCCTAGCAAGAGAACCCTAAGGGCCCGGGCTTTATTCGCTACCAGAGCAAGAATGGCAGCCTGTGGCTGTGGCACTGAGGGAGGCAGGCGCTGATGTTTGGCCTCCTTTCCTAGGAACGGGCACCCGTGTACCATCCAGAAGTACGGGAATTCTAACCGCTTTGGAAACAAAACCAGGGCTACGAAGAAACTTTGGAAATATAAAATGTAGCCTTCGTAAAAAGAAAGTAAACTTTTCCTTGAAGAAAACCAATGCTGACAGGGGGGAGAAAAGAAAATCTACTCCAAACGGGATCATGTTTTATTCAGGATTTGTGCTGCCAGTGGGGGAAGGTCAGAACTCCGTGACAGGATGGGAAAGTGGGACACCCCAACTTCAAGCCTCATCCACTCTGCCATGAAGTACTTCTCGCTTCACCGGGCTCGGCTCCTGGGACCTCTAATGGCCCTCGATAGCAAACATAGTTAAAAATTAACAGACTGACAGAATTAAATATGGATGACAACCAGCCGCTGTGGACTTAATCTGACACAGGATGTTACATGCTTGGGTGCCCTCGACCCGAGTGGCGTCTTGAGTGAACTTCTGTGATGTCTGAGCACATTTCACATGCCTCTTTGGAAGCAAGAACCTGGCTTGTGCTTAGGACAGACGGGGAAAGAGTCTAAAAGCTCAGGAGGGAAAATGATCTCTGAAGCCTTACATTTAATTAAGCCCAGCCTTGACTGGTCTCAGCAAGAGGTCTAGACCTTGTCGCTGCCTGGGTCCAAGCCCCAGCAATGTCCCCCCAATTCAGATGGGGAGATCTTGCAGGGCTCTGGGCTGGGCTGGAGCGTCGTGACCTTCTCCAGCCAGAGCTTATTTGCTCGCTTCCTTTCCGGAGGTCAGGGTAGGTCAGACGGCAGACTTCACCTCTGGACCGATTCACCGTAGATCTTGACATTTTGCCTAGATGATGGCAACTTGTTCAGTGGCCCTAGGCAAGGAATATTAGATGCCAGACAAATAGTAAAGAATGGTGAGTGCGTTTTTTGCCCCATGTCTGCTGAGAAGATGGGCTGGCAGCCCCCCCCGCGCGCGCCCCGGACTGGGGGAAGGATGTTCCTTCAGAGTGATCCTCAGTGGGCCTCATTTCATGAAGCAGAAATTCCTGAAAAGTGTTTTTCCAATTTTGGTGGACACTTTATGGCAGGGGGCAGGAGTGCAGTTTTAAAGAACCCTATAATTCCATAAAAATGATCGTTTTTTTGTATAGCAGATCAATCCAGTCTCTTTGATGGATTTGTAGTTTCTTGGACCACGCGTGCTTCTGGCTTGGCTGCCTCTCCTTAGCCTGGAAGCCTTCAGCACAGTGTGCTATAGGATCTGACCTGCTTTATTTGGTGATGCTGCTCAGAGTGGATCCTTAGGCCTAGAGCGAGCGGGCCAGGGTTGGTTAGAACTAAAGAATGTGTGAGTGTCTGGCTGCAGTTGGTTCAGTGTGGGGAAAACCCCAGCAGGGTAGACAGGGTCCATCTTGCAGACAGTGTAGAAACGTGAATTTCCATGCCTTCAGAAGGAGAGCCTGGCTCTGAATATACGGTGCTAGGGAAACCTGTATTCACATACAGCATCTCCGTCAGGAAAGGTGAGAAAGTCTTCACTGTGTCTTACAGATGAGGTTAGACATCCAGAACGCCAGCTGGGCTGGTGGTCTTCCCGCTGTAATTAGCTGTGTTAAGAGCTAGAAACTTGGATGTCATATTGGCATGCCTCAGCTCCTTGATCCACCAAAAGTCACCACTGGAAGGGGCCTTCTCAGCACTCGCGGGTGCTACGTAATAAAAAGATTCTGTGGTCAGATAAATTTGGGAAACCCAGGGGTAAATCAAGTTTAATGAGTTTCTTCATTGTGGAACTTCTCAGAGTCTGTAATGTGCCTAATGTGTATCTCGAATCTGCCGAAGGGGCAGAGACTGCATTTCTCTCAAACTTACTTGACCACAGAGCATCTCTAGGCGGCCTGCTTCCAGCCACACTTTGGAAACCTCACTCAGGAACAGTGTGAGTCTCAACTTGGGTGTGTGCATCATCATCTCCTGAATGCAGGTGCTTTGGTTTCTCTCCTAGGGTTTCTGCATTTCTGACAAATTCCCAAGTGATGCTGGTGGGCCAGGGACCACACTCAGAAACACTGGTCGTAGACTTACCCCTTTCTTTCATGGAGAAGGAAACAGCTAAACCAAGGAGTATTTACTAATGGTCACTACCCTTAATTGAGCCAGGCACCTTGGTAAGCACTGCTCACAACTGTTTGTAAAGGCAAGTGTGAGGATGGCAGTCAGTCACCAGAAGGAGGTAGTACAGTGCAAATAATTACACTGTGCTGTTTGCAAATCACTGCAGAAAGACTGGTCTGTAGAGACCAGTCCAGGTCCTCCTGTCCTTGGCAACATGATTGGAAATGGGAATTCTGTATCTGTTTTAATTGTCTGGGCCTTAGTTTCCTCATCTGTAAATGGAAGAGGATAGAAATTACTTTTATGGATACTCACTACTTTTTCTAGCATTCCATTTTATTTTTGCTCTGAGTTATTTCTGTTTCTGGTGCTCTCCTCCCCCGTCCAACCTCTCAGTAGTCACAGGAGCTGGTGCCGTGCTGAGGTGTCAGAGACTTCAGTGTTATCCTACAGGGGCACCGTGTTTCAGAAAAGTCTGCCTAAAGAAGAGTGATGGTAGAACCCCAAACAGTGCCCCCCCCATAGTAAATTCTAGTGGTAATCCCTTAACTTTACTGGGTAATGAACTCATGGTAATCGCTAAATTCTCATGGAGAAGCGTCCCAGGGTCTTGTTGCTTCTTGACTTGCAGGTCATAATCTGATGGCGTGTTTAGCAGTTTCTGGCACAGAGTCAGTGTTAGTTTGGATCATATATATCATTAAAGGTTCTTACAGGGACTTGAGAAGCTGCTGGGATTGTAGGCAGGATTGTGAGTGGGCTGTGTGTGCGTGTGTGCACGTGCATGTGCGCACACGACAGGATCGTTGTCTTACGTGGAAAGTCAACTGCATAGACTCATTCCTGCTGAATTGCCCATGGAGAGGGAGTCCAGGGAACCACGAGTTTCCCCAGCGTTTATGATGTACGAAAGCAGCCGCTAGGCGATGGGCAGGAGTGGCTACTAGTGATCTGGGGCCAAAAGCCACAGCAGAACAAGGAGCTCGAGTGGGTGTCCTCCCCACCCCCTGGAGGACAGCAGTGGTTAGCACAAAACAGCTTATTCACCTAGACCAGCTGCCTGCTGGGAACTCCATTTGCTCAGTTTGCTCCTGAACTTCCCTACCTGCCCTGCTGCCCAGGAATGTTGGGGAGAAACTCATCCTTGCCTGCCTGGGGGGGGGGGGGAACACGACGACACTGCCCTCTGCGGGCAAATGGGTGCCACTGCACCTCAGACCCGAAAGAAGGGCAGGCTTGGATGCCTGTGGAGTAAGTAGTGCAGTGAGAAGGGCCCACCTTGTTGGCAAGGGCAGTGGTGTCCAAGCCATGGTGCACGAGAGTCATGAATTTCAGGGCCTCTGTTGACTCCATCACCACCACATCCTCCCTGAGAATCAGCCAATGGGCTGAGCTGAGCTGAGTACCGTCTATCCTGGACCCCACAGGCCAGAGTCTGCCTGCTTATCACCCTGGAGTACTTGGGGGTTCTAGGCCAGGCTGACTACGGTGCTCACGTGCGAGGCTTGTGTGGGTGGCGAAGGCCCAGCATGCGTGACAGGTTAGCTGAAGCTGGGTGGGTGTGTGGGAGATGAAGGGCTTCCTTCTTGCAGTCACTGTCACCAACAGTCATGCCATCCACTGCGCCCCCACCCCCTGGTCAGACCTCCCTCTTCCTGTGTCTCTGAAACACCAACATGTCTTGGCCTCATGGGGCTCAGCGCCCCAGCCCCACACCCAGGCAGCACCAGTCGCCACCACTGTGCTCCCTCCGGCTCCAGCGTGCACAGACCCATCCCCTCCCGCTGTGTGTTTAGGTTCCCAGCCCCCCACCTGCCCCGGGGCTGTGTCCCAGTCCTGTCCTTTACCACCTGTCTCAGGAAGGCAGCTCCAACTCTGCCCTTTGCTTAGTGAGCAAGTGGATTCAGATGCACAAAGCCATAAGCCATGGGTAGGTATGAAATTTGTCTTCATCTTTCTGTCTTCCTTTCCTCCCTTCTGCCTTTTCCCCTGCACCCCTATACTCCTCCCTCCCCCTTCCTTCCCGTCCTTCCGCACTTCCCTCCTTTATTTCTCTCTCCTTTATCCTCCATGTGCTCCTAAATTCCTAAAGTGACCTCTTTTTTAGCATACCTGCATGCAAAGAGTTTCTGGTCCCTTCTCTTAATTGTTACTGAATGTTGGACGACCCTGGCCCTGCCTTAATGAGCGTTAGTGCCTGCTGGTGCCTCCCAAGGAACACAGCTTTGCCCCCTCACAGTGAGGGCGGGGGCGGCCCTCTGGAGCTGGTAACCTGATTTCTGGGAATGTCTGATACAGTCCCTCAGGAGATCCCCAGAATGATTCCTGGTATGGGCAGAAGCTCAAAACGCATCTGTGGACCTTTTAGGTTCCCATTTCCTGAATAAGTGAGGCCAGATGCTACTGCCCCAGGTTGGGACGGAGTCTCCCGGTATGGCCCCTCGCCCTGACTCAGAACCAGAGAGGAGAGAGCCACCCTGTGAAGAAGTCCTGGGGTAGAAGGAAACGCTAAGGACTTGCGCATGTGTGCCAGGACAGAAGGCCAGGGATCCTGTGTCAGCTTTGTCTGGGGCCCACTCCTGCACAGCCCAGCCTTTAGAATCAAGTTATGAGAGCTAGTGGAGCCTGAGCCCGGATCCTGACCCCACTGGGTTCTGTGCACATGGGGATGTCCTTCAGAATACCCAGATATCAGTTGATTTCTCCACCTCCCCCAGAATGCTGCTTTATTGTTTATGCTTTGGAGATGTAAGATGCCATGTGAAAAGAGGGTTCTCCAGCAAAGTCTGTTTTATTAAACCATTGAAGTAGGTTTGTCAGGGCGAAGTTCCTTCCAGCATTGCATTCTACTCTAGAAACATGGGCCAGACCCAGGTCATAGATCCATCTTTCGCCTCCTGTCACCCTGGGAGGGAGCCACCCAGCCCTCCTGAGTATCTCTTTAGTGTGATTTGTTCTCTCTCCTCCAGGACAGAGGAGCCGTGGTGAATGGGCTTTTTTTGCCTCTGTCCAAAGGCTCAGGTGCAAAATGGACGTTGCCAACGTGGATATCTGTTAAAGCCAAAGTGCACTTGCCCTTCTGTTTGGTTTCTTCACGTTTTCCTCAGCATAAGACCGGGAACATTCTGCTAAGTGGACAGAGCATCACTTGATCCATTTGTTTTGCTGCTGGCCTTCCATTTTATTTTATTTTATTTTATTTATTTTTTTTTTTTTTTTTTGGCCTTCCATTTTAGAAACCTAATGGAAGAGAAAGGGCTACAGGTCCTTCTCAGCAGAGTGAGCAGAGGGCATGGGGTACCAGGTACCCCACAGTACCGAGAGGCCAGAACCCCTTTTCTAAAAGAACCAGGAGCAGAATCTCAAAAATGTCTTGGCCAGACAACTGGCATGGATGGGTCGTGAACCACCCCTTCCTTGTCAAAGCAGGTAGATGTTTCCACACCCTGCCTAGAAAACCATTAGGCAGCCTGCCTCCTAGCCTAGGCCTTGCTGAGTGAGTGCAGAAACGGACTCACTGGCCAGACGTTAGCCCAGCAGTGGGAGCATGGGAGCTGCTGGACCCAGCGTGCTCCAGAGCTGGATCTTCGCTGAGAGCTTGGCCCCTGTGTTCATCAGGGGATGCGGAAGTTTTCTCAGGGCCCTGTTCTGATACTTTTCAGCCCCTGGCCGGGGGGGGGGGGGGTCCTGCCCACTGGTAAATGTAAAAGGGCACCATCTTTGAACAGTGAAGGGGTGGCCGTCCGACAGGATGCCCTGTGAGGAACGAGAATGTCCACTGGGAGCCCCGGTTCACTGCCTTCTCCCCACATGTCTTTCCAGATGCGCTGGCTCCCTCCCTCCGAGGCTACTTCTCAGGGCTGGAAGTCCCGTCAGTTCTGCTGAATACTATGTAAGTACTTGGCTTGAGTAACAGCCCATCCAAAGCAGATGCTGCCCTGCGCCCACAGCCGCCTCGCTACCTGCGCTCACCTGCCGTCTGCCCGCCATCCGAAAACTCGCGGCGGAGCTCCTCTGTGGTGCCGCGTCTCTCTGGGAGATTTCTCCTGGGATCGAGGGAGAGGGACAGATGGTACTCTAGCTTAAGACACCGAGGCCTGGCCTTCCACTTCATAAACCAGCAGCCAGTGCTAGTGTTCCCGTCAGGTGTCCGCACGTCTGGCTAGGAAACAGCGGTTCACCTGCTGCTGGCGTTGAACAGCCACCTTCGTCCGGTTACAGGCGCGCCTCATCCCCCCGTGCACGTAGTACTGTGTCGTGGGAGTCTTAGCGATTTATCAGAATTACCTTTCCCTGCATGCATGCACAGTAGAACTTTGAGCAAGTTCTCATCTTTCTGTAATACCTAATCTTTTGACTGAAGGCCAACAGTGTGCTGTTTCCAGTAGGCTTTCCTTAAAGTTTCTCATCCTGAAGGAAGCACTATGCTAAAATGGCATCTTCGTGCCATTTTATTTTAGGCCTTTTCCGAGAACCACCAAATGAGGGGTTTCTTTTTTTTTTTTTTTTTTTAAGATTTTTAAGTAAACTGTATGCTCAACATAGGGCTCAAGCTCACAACCCCTAGGTCAAGAGTTGCATGCTCCACTGACTGAGGCAGCCAGGCGCCCCCAAATAAATTCTTTTCCTGTAAACATATCATTTGTATAAAATTCCAGATGCCTTCTTTAATTCAGTATCTTGACTGAATTTCGGTTAAATACAAAGCACCATTATTCTGAACTCTGATATGGTGTGTACATTTGGGGAGTCTGCCTTAAATTGAGGAAAGTCTATGTAATATTACAGTTCTATGGTCTACAGTTCTCTTAGTTTATATCATATCTTCACAAAACAGAAGAAAAACTTTCATGAAACTTTTCATGAACTAGACCTTCAGCCATTTAGAAATGCTTAAGAGTTCTTGTAAAATTATGTACATACCTCTACCTAATGCAGGGTCAGCACAGAGCCCGACCTGGGGCTTGAACTCTAAGAAATAGATGATGAAGGGTGCCTGGCTGCCTCAGTCGATTAAGTATCCAACTCTTGGTTTCAGCTCAGGTCATGATCTCACAGTTTTATGGGTTTGAGCCCTGCATCAGGCTCTGCTCTGACAGTATGGAGCCTGCTTGGGATTCTGTCTTCCTCTCTCTTTGCCCCTCCCCCACTCACATTCTGTGTCTCAAAATAAACTTAAAAAAAAAGAAACTGTCAGATTATGACCTGAGCCAAAATCAAGAGTCAGATTAACCAACTGAGCCACCCAGCCACCCCTAGATTCCTTTTCTAAAACTACTTGTATTTGTCCCTTATTCTGAAATCATGGTCCGTTATCTGTTTTATATGAAATGGTAATGTTAGTGAATGGCAATTCTATTTTAAATGTAGTTTCTTAGAAAAAAGTCAGCAGTCCATTTAAAAATTTTAAAAAGAATTTAAAAGTGTTACTGTTTTTTGAAATCTAAAAACTCAGTGTTTAGGGAAGACTTTTTCTTCCTGAAAAAACCATTTTTAAGCTTTGAGGTGTATTCTAGGGTGGGTCCATTACATCCAGGACTTCCCGAGTCCATGTTCCACATCCGTATACCCATAATTAATTTTTTAAATGGCGTGTCCCCAGCACTTGCTTCTTCACTTAGAAAAGCCTCAGTCATTTCATCATGAGGGACCTTCCCTCCATTCCCAGAATGATGCTGGTACAGCGCTGTCATGTGGCTCCAGAAGGTACTGCTTGTGTGCACCTCTGTGTCCCACGACTGTGCTCCTCTCTCAGCTTTCAGAGGCTGGTAGGTGTCCACCTGGAGGCGGCGTGGGTTAGGTAACTGGAGATTCTGAAGCTCACAAAAGAGTTGATGGGTTGACATAGGTCTGGCATTCAGTGTAAGTGGCTGGTTGAAGAAGTTGTGGAAACTGGAAGAGAGGTGGGCAGGACGGAACCTCGAGGCTCACCAAGAATGTAGAAGGTCAGCAGAGGATGAGCAGCTCATCGAGAATGAAGTGACCAGAGTTGCAGGGGAGGGCTGGAGCCCGGAAGTTTGGCAGCGGGGAGCTGCTCGGTGAGCAGTATCGAATGGTGTAGGAAAGTTGAGTAAAAGAGGAGAATACCCTTGAATTTGGTGGTTTCAGGTGGCAAAGTATAGTGGTGGCATTTGGCCTGAGGAAGGGTTTTTTTAAGCATTTATATAGGCCAAGGGAAGAACGATCATTAAGCAGTTGCGTGGTTCCAGCCAACAAGATCTGCACTTTGTTTATACCCACCCACCAAGTTCCAGATCCTCCTTCCCCACGGACCTATCTTACCAGAGATCTAGAGGCAGCAGTGGCTGCCGAAGAAGGGCGAGCTAGCAGTTTCCCCTTCAGCTGTGTGGCTGGTGAAAGTGTCGGGTGGATGTCTCCCGTGGATGCATCGTTTGTCCTGAGCTAAACTTGGGCCACGGGCCTGACTCCTTCCTCGGGGTCTAGAGGGAGCAGAGGAGAAGTATTAGCAAACAGGATGGATAATTGTACTCATTACCACCACGCTTGGGGGTCAGGACTCCAATCTCCCATCCTGCCTGAAGTGAGACCAGTTCAGGGTGGATCCATCACTCAGGTTCCTTCTAGTCTCTTGGATCAAGTCCTTTCCAAGACAGCTAATAATCCAGGCCATGTAATTTTAGGGAAATGTAAATTAGAATTGAAAACCATGGTTCTGATGAAATAATAAACGTTTTAGTAATAAAATGAATCTTTCAAAAAGGCCAAATGTGGGATAGGTGCCACCAGAGGCACCACTAGGCCACGTGGCCTTCCTCCGTTCATCAGAGGAGACTTCCTTCCTCTGTGGAGAGATGGCATCCGAATAGAAAACTAGAGCAGGAGTGACGTCTGGTGTCAGATAGGACGACCAGTAAGCAGACTCAGATGGCCGTCACGTCCAATGTGTGGAGCACCGGGATGCCGCACTTCCAGATCCGCAACAGTCAGGGCCTGTTTCATAGGGGCCCCCCAGGGAGTTTTCATTTACTCACTTTGACCTATTTCTAAAGGGAAATCAGTGACTAGACGAGAAAAGTAAGCTAGCTCTTTATTCTGTAAATAAACATATATTATGTGTCTGCTATGTACTAAATATAAAAACGTAAACAAGGCCTGTGCCCCTAAGGAACTCCAGTTCTAACGGCTGGGCGTCATGGATACACGTTTTAAAGAGAGTTAGCACTCAGGCTGCTCCAGGATGAACCTGTTAGGAAGGTCCTAGAGGCACGTGTGGGTGTGCGTGTGTTTACTGTCATTGGTGGCATAAATAAGGCCATCAGAGGTGTAAGTGTAATTGGTGTTTTGGTTTGTTCATCATCTTGCTTGATGGTGTTTAGTCTGGCTACAAGCTATGTCTGCACAGCACTAGAGTTCTGCTAATGGTCCAGCCATGAGGTGGACAACCCCAGATTATGTGCTAATCATTGAAAATGATCCATTTTCCAGATATGTTGAGAACAGGAAAGCATGGGCAAGTTTTTTTTATTTTTGAGAGAGAAAGAGTGGGGGAGGGACAGAGAGAGAGGGAGACACAGAATCCGAAGCAGGCTCTAGGCTCTGAGCTGTGGGCACAGAGCCCGATGCAGGGCTTGAACCCACGAACAGTGAGATCATGACCTGAGCTGAAGTCGGACGCCCAACCAACTGAGCCACCCAGGCGCCTCTGTTTATTTTAAAATTTGGGTTGTTTTTTTGTTTGTTTGTTTGTTTTTGTTTTTAGTAATCTCTACACAAAACGTGGGGCTCGAGCTCACAACCCTGAGATCAAGAGTCGCATGCTCTTCTGACTGAGCCAGCCAGGCACCCCCAGCATGAGCAGTTTTTAGTAACTTTTTACAGAGAATGCGAATTACACAGCTTTTCTTGTTGGGTATCCAAATATAGTTAAATAATAATAATAATAATAATAAATTAGGAGCTCGGGTGGATATGGGAGGGTGTTCTTTAAGAACTCCTATAATTTCCCTGGCACCAATGGACCAAGACCATAGCACAGAAATTATAAGCACATGTAGTTACAGCACCAACAAAGGAGCGAAGGACATGGCAAGAGATAAGACTGGAATGTAAAGCTGTGTGTATGTGTTCCTTATGTTTTGTTTTGGGAGGAACGGGCTAGTTTGTCTCTGGCCAAGAACACAAGGGTCTTGGGGATGCTGCCATTGTCCAGGGAGCCCCAGGCACTGGAGGTCACGACAGAGCTTGGAACTCAGCACTGTGGCTCCTGCAGGGACCCCTGCCTTCTCCCTAGAAGAGTCCCAGGCGCCATGCTTTCTGCCGCAGCACACGTGCCCAGGAACCAGGGCGGTGCCTGTGCCTGAGTTGCCTCTCCCCTTCCTCCTGTTAACTGCGTCTCCTGTCTCACTTAAATTCATTAATGCAGTAACTTATCCAGTGAGCAAGGTAGTATTCTGGCTGCTGAGGTTACAGGAGCAGCGAAAGCAGACAAAATCCTTGCCTGCGTGGAGCTCGCTTCCTGTAACAGGGCCAAGATGGCTGACACACTACAATTAAACATAAGTAGTCAGGTGGAAAGAAGTGCTAAGGGGAAAACAAGCCAAGCGAGGGAGGAAGGTAAATGTTCTGGGCCGGCAGGCGCCGTATGTCACAGGAGAGCAGAGGGGCCAGGGTCAGCCTGGCACTTAGCATTCAAGCGGAGACCCAGAGCTTCCCCAGAGCTATGTGGGTGCCCTTTTCAGAACAGACTCACTTAACTCAAGTTTAGAGAAGAATTTAACTTCTCCAGTCTTGTTGCCTTCCCCTTTGCCAAGCCACCCAGGCCTGTGCTGCAGCGGGCTTACACTGGAGCAGAGAATGTGCCCAGGCAGCTTGCAGTTTAGCCCTGGGTGCCGATTTGCTTTCTCTGAGCGGGGTCTCCGTTTTCCCAGTGAGGAGCCACGTGCCCTGGTTCTGACTCCCTGAGCCCGGGGTCTGGTAGGTTCCTGGTGAGTTGTAAAGGCAGGGCCGGGACTGTGTGCGGGGCACTCCTTCCAGCCACTGCCATGCATTCGCAAGTGCCCTAAGCTATGGCACCATCTGCTAGCCACAGAAGCACCCACTGAGCTCATCTACGAACCACCACTGTCAGGAAGTGTGGCCAAAGCTGTGATCTCCCTGCTTTTGCCTGTTACCTGTTTTCTGTGAGTTTGGTGGGGAGAGCTTCAACACCCCTGAGCACGTGCTTTGGGAGAATTGCCTGACGGTCCCTGGGAGAAGTCAAAAGAAGGCAGCTGCGTCTGAAGACCGGGATATAGGGTCCTGGTGCCTTCACAGAAAAGGTCAGGGCCACCTACGAGGGCCTTGCCCCACCCCCCACCCAACCTTCCCTCCTTCTCGGCTGGAAGGGGAAGTTCAGAAGACCTGCGTATTCACTGTAAAGTTGAAAATGAATACAATTTGGACTTGCCTCTGGTGTTTTATGCTTTGGGGTGCCCTCTCACGGGGTCCCTGTAGAACAGACAGGCGCGTGCACCGTCCCTGCCCATGGCAGATGGGGGAGCTGGCGCGCCAACAGGTGCTGCTGTGGTGCTGCCCTGTGCTGCCAGACCCTGGGGGGATGTGGCTGGCGGTGGGACGTCCTGAAAGTGCAGTGTTGGTCTGGCCACCCGAGGCGCCCTCCCTTGAAAGTTCTTGGCACGTGTGGATCAGATGGAGGACGTGCGGAGCGCTGATGGGTTTTGTTTGCAAAGACGCGTATTTATTTTCCTGTCCTCAAGTGACCCAACCTTTCCTAGGAAACCGGAATTCCATCTACTTCTCTTTTAATGTTTTTAAAGTGAAATTCTGGGGAAAATTTTCTTTTTTCCTTAGTTCTGTGAAGAGAGCTGTCCTGGGAAGGCAGGCTTTCCGTCAGCCTCACTTGTGATCCCAGAGGACAGTTCAGCCCCGGTCCAGTCTCCATCCGAACCCCGGTGGGGTGTGGGGGAGCTGCATCCCGTGCCGGCAAACCAGTGAGACCATAAGGGGAACCTGAGGTTTGCAGCAGCACCCTGTGCGCCCCCGTTCACGAAGCACTGCGTGTCTGAATCAGCCCCTCTGCAGGAAGGAGAGTAGCACTGCCCGGGGCCGGACGTTCAGGCCTGTTACGGGGAACACGGCCTCTGGCGTCCTCGTGCCGGGAGTCAGCTTCCTGCATCGGCCCTGGAATTCTCGTGAAAACCAGCTGGCTCAGAGGCAGTCATGCCTGCAGAAGAATATTAAGAATTTATGATTTGCTGGATCTCAGCACCTTCATATTTCAAAATTCTCAAACCCTAGGGAATGGGATATAGTCACAAATGTTTCGTTTTAGTTTTTGTTTTGTTTTCCAGAAGGTGCTTAGAACAAAATCGAGCTCATTGGTGCATGTGACCGCACAGGATCCTCCTGGAGAATTGCTTTTATGGCCTTGGGCTGATCAAAGTTGTGGTCTGAGGCAGCTCCTGGAGTTGTTTGGGTTTGGGGCGCTTCCTTTCTTTGGGGGCGGGGGGAGGGCCTTCAGGTCCTGAACCCTCTCCCCGATGGGGCTTCTGAGCGATCCCGGGGACCCGGGTCTCGGGACTGTGGGTGCAGCTTTGCTCTGCCCCGCCACATGGTGGACATGCTCGTGCCCTTGAGTGAGCATGTGAAGACCGCGTCTCCCATGGCACGCTTCTCTCCAGGTGCCCTTCCCCCTGGGAGCCACACTCAACTGCCAGAGTCCTTCCCCTCTGACCACGTCCTGAGACTTCGAGCCGAGAGCTTCCGTGCCGCTGGCGTAAGGCTGTTCTCACGTGGTACCTGTCCCCCAGCTCCGCATCGGAGGCCTTTGGTCCCTTTGGCATTGGCTCTCTGCTCTTTGCCCTACAGAACAGGCTGGCCGTCAGGCCTCAAGGAACCTGAAGAGTGGGCCGGCCCCGGGTTGGAGGTCACTGCACCCTGTGAATGGCTGATCTCTTCCCCCATCGCAGGTTCCAGGTGTGTGATGGTGGCTGCGATCTGTCTTGTGGGTGTTAATGCCATCTTCGGCGGTGGCGACCTTACTCGAGCTGTTCCACGAAACTGGAGCGTGCCGGTGAGTTCCACGGTCAGAGGCCGAGCAGGCCCTCGGGGAAGTGGCATGTCCCGGGCAGGGCACGGTGGTGTCAGACCAGGGTGGGAGGTAATCCCAGGCCCTGGGTGACGGGGCCCAGCGGTCTGGGTGTTCCCACCCCCAGATGGTTCTGATGGGTGCTCTGGGCGGAGACATGCTGTGGGGAACGCTGGGGTCAGGGCTTTGCTCTCCATTAGCTCCTCCAGCCCCAGCCTGCGTAGGGAAGGGCACCCCGGGAGAGCAGGCTCTTGCAGCACCTCACCCTTCCCTGGTGGGGCCGATGGCTGGCAAGGCTGTCCACACCGCCTTGGCCCACAGCCTGTGGAAGGAGCTGTTCCACCTGAGGGGGTTTACAGATCAACGACACTTTGCCCTTCGAGCCCTTAAACCGTTTTTGGAATTAACCATTTTGGTGAGACTCTTTTTTAGATGTAGTATGTATATATTCCTTCTGACTTATGAATCCAATTATACTGAACATAGTGCAACCCTTTCCCGATGACTCAGACATTCTTGTGACCCTCTTTGGAAAGAAGTGGTTGCCCTTGGGCACAACTGAGGTAGGATTCTTACTGAATTCCTCCCGACTCTGGACTTTCCTTCTGGGTGATGAGGGTGATTTTGGTGATTTGGTGATCTGTTCATCTCTTCAGTTGATATCAGCTGTTCCTCCTTAATTCATCAGCTTCTAGCAGCATGTGTTGTCTTAAGACAATAACGTAGCGTTCCCAGAGGTGACCGGCCTGCCGGGTGCGACACAAGGGGCTTCTAGTCTCTCTGGAAAACTTGGCCTTGAACAACAGCCATGCCAAGGGCAGGCCAACGGCAGTATGTCTCGGCCCAAATAAGGCAGCAAATTTCATCCCTAAAAGGGGCCTGTCAAGAAAAGATGAGTCAGAAAGAGGGCAAGATTCCTGCTAAGGACAGAGAACCAAGCAGATCTAGCCAAGGAGGTCGTTAGCACATTTTTGGGACTTAGGTAATTTCTTGCTCAGAATAGCGCCCGTCCATTGGCAGACACACCTCGGGTGCCAGGTTTCGGATCCTACCTCCTCCTGCCTGGACAGGAACCCAGCAACCTGCCCTTGGGGTCTTTTTCCCCCACTGATGGGTTTCTCCCACTGACCAAACTTACAACAGGTAAACGTTTTCCACATCATGTAGGGTGGCTAATATTTATCCCACTAATTCCAGAGCTTTCTAACACATCAGATTCTCCTTTTGCCATGGTTCTTTTAGTAGCAATGCCCATGCTGTTCTTACCGATATCACCTGGTAAAACTTTCTTAAAAGTCAAGTTTTGTTGGGCTCTTTTCTCCCTCTGCTCTGGCAAACTTTAAGGACCCATACAGTGTTTTGGAAGCAAGTTAGAATGATTTTTTTTTTTTAAATGCAATAAATTGACCCAAACATCAGCAATTCAGGGCAAATGCGGATCAGCCCCGTCAGGAAGCGGCAGCTGGAGCACAGGGTGACTTCATTTAGACAGTGGAAGGGCCTGGTGACCCAGAGCAGACAAGAGATGGGGGTGGATCCGGGACTCGGGGAGGAGCTGAGTTGGGTTGCGGGCCGCTGGCCAGCATGGGCTAGACAGGGTGCAAGGTGTCGTCGGCACTAGCCATGTTCACCTTGGGGCTTGCCAGTTCTGGGGCTGTCCGTGGAAGATCGAGTTTGGAGGAGGCCTGACATTAGCACTGCTTCTGGCCTGCCCTCATGAGCCCTCAGAGGGCCTGGACCGTGAGGAGGCTGAGCCTTCTCTGGCCAAGTGTGGAGCTGGAACCCACACGGGGAAGCAGCTTACTGGCCCATGCTTTGTGCTGGTTTCTGGGGCTGACGGGCGCACGTGGGGAGAGGTGGCCGGGGGTGTGTGTGTGTAGAATGTGGGGGAGGAGTTTCCAACTCCAGAAGACCGTTCTGGAGACTCGAGACTATGAGCCTTTTTAAATGTTAGTAGCTAGGCTTTTTATTACAAATTAATATTGGTATTTGATTTTTTTAGGCCAACAGGTATAAAATGAAAACTGTGTCCCATGTTCATTGGGAGTTGGGTTGGGGGGGGATATTCCTTACCTGACTTTGGGGAGAAATGAATACATGTTGTAGAGACTCTTGGGGAAGAATCACCAGTAAATAGGTCAAGTGCATGTAGAAGGATGGGGGAAACAGTCTCACTGTCGGGAGAAAGAGCCCCAGTTGAGTCCAGGAGGAGCAGCCACGGCCGCGGCTGGTGTCGCTTCTGAGCTGCCGGCAAGTGCCTTGGCCCCAAACCCAGCAGCAACCCCTGCACCCAGGGCCACAGGCCGACCTTTTTGAGGACAACTGACACGAAAGGTTTCCGAATTGTAGAATATTCTTTCAGAGAGCAGCATTCTCCGTGCTCTTCAATGGAGACTGTTGTGCCTGACCCCAGACTAGCATTTTCCCCCCTGTGTGTCCTGTCACGTGCACGGTGTGGTTCAGCCCCCACCCCTTCAGGAAAGGCTCTGTGGGGAGAGGCCGCCCTGCAAACGGAGCCTGACCCCCCCCCAGCCCCCACCCCTCCGTGGTGCGCTGTGTTCCCGGATGTCTCTGTGTTCTGTTTAAAATGTCCTTGTTAATACATTCCAAGGTTTGAACTCCGTTCTTAGCTAAACCCCTTCCTTGTTTACAGGGACTGAAATAGCCACATTCTGACCTTCTGTTCAGTCTGGGAACATCTATGGCAATGTGGACGCATTCTTTTCCCATGTGAGAATTACATCTACACGGCACAGTTATGGAAAAGCTCGGGAAACTATCAGCTCTCCTCCCCTCTCTTCCCTCCTCCCTTCCATGGGTTTTCACCTCAAAGCCTTTCTAATCAGCCAAAATTACCCAGCCCCACACACCTTGCTTCCTGTGCAGGAGGAAGGGGACAGAGTGATGGGAGGTCAGGGTGGGCTGCTTATTGTCCGGGGAAGCCAGAAGCACCCTCCCACCCCCTCCGCCCCCCAAACTGCTTCCTGGGGCAGCCCCCCGTCAGGGCCAGAGCTGCCCCATGCAGGTGCTGAGGGTGCTTCTCAGAGGGGGGTGAGATCAAGTCTTAGGGTCACATGCCATTTATTACCCATCGTTCTTGTCTCCTTTGCTGCCCCAGAGTGCAAGTGTCAGAAGTTTTGCTACACACAGGTAACGATGTCTGGGGTGGAGAAACGAGGACATAGTCTTAGGGAGGAAAATTATCCTTCAGGAGGCTAAACCAATGGCCTGGACAGGGAGGAGGAAGGCCGGAGAGGTGGCACTCCCTCCGAGTTCTGAGAGGAGTTTGTGAGGACAGAAGAAGGGGGATGTAAGCATATGCCCCACAGGTTCTTGTCAAAAGTGGGTTCTGACCAAGCTTTGAGGGCCTCGAGGGAAGTGGTAGGGATTCGGGCCTTGGGGAGGCAGGCGAGGGGTTTTCAGAAGCTTTGTCACCTTGCCTGCAGCAAAATGAAGAGTCAAGTTAGAAACACATACCGGGAGAGGCAAACCCAAGATGGTGATGGTGGTGTCGGGAATTAGCAGTCGTCCGTGTCACCAGGGGCCGGGTGGAGGGACAGTGACACAAGTGGCGGGAGCTGGAGCCGTGTTATGGTGAGGCGGTGAGTCTGGGTTCAGAGGTGGTGCCTTTGAGGTCACAGCAGCAATGTCCAGGGCACAGCTGACAGCGATGGGGACAATTGTCTGGGAACTGGCTGTGGAACCAGAAAGGCCGGCAGTAGCAACGTGCACTTACCCAAGGATGGTTGTTGAGCAGAGAAGGCAGACCCGCCGGGCCCCTGCCCAGGGCTGGAGGACACCGTGGGCACCTGGTCCAGCCTAAGCCCGCGGGCAGGTGTGCACACACATGGAACATGGCCTGTGCTCCTCCGCCTGTCCGTTCAGTCCTTCCTCTCTGTCCCTGAAGGCAGTGTGGCAGCTTGGGTTTCAGCAAAGTCTCAGTAAGCATTCAAGACTGCCCCCCATCCTTTTTTTTTTTTTGCCATGTCCCCACGTGGGGTCTGGGCTGCCTTCCCGAGATGGCGCTGTGCGAGCCCCACATGCAGGCCCCGCAGGTTCCCAGCATCCAGGGGCTGCCGAGCACCGTCCCCTGTGAATTGTTCCAAAGTAGGAACAGCCATAGGGTGACTGCTGTTCCTAAGAAATGGCTTCCTGGAATCAACACACAGCTCTGACTGCTGGCCCATGATCAAGTTTGGGATGACGTGGAACTTGTCATTCCAGACCTGACAAGCCGCAGGAGGGCAGGGGAGAGAGCATCTCGTGTCCACTTCCTTGAAGCAAGTTTCCGTTTCTGTGGCCGCCCAGACCCGGGGACGCAAGGGGGCACTGCCTCCTCCCAGTCTGGTGGGGAGGCTCCTTCAGTGTAGTTCAAGGGCAGCAGGTCAGGCATTTGAGGGACTGTGAGGTCACGGGGTCATTGGGAAGGTCAGCTGCTCCAGCCCCAGAGATCATGCTTGGCGCCATGGCCCCTGCCACCAGCCCGGGGCTGCTCCGTGCCACACACGCCTGGAGTGTGGGACCCTGGTGCCCCAGGCAGGTTCAAGTCAGGGTGCGGCAATGGGATGTAGCTCTCAAGAGCGGCCCCTGCTAAGTGTCACAGGTCTTGTGACGTGTACCTAAGATGGGGTGTGCATAGTCCCGCCACTCTGCTTTCTCCGTCACCAACCATCTGCCAAGTGACCGGTGATCCCCCAGCCTGTGCTGGGCCCCCGGGGGAGGCAGAGCGGTCAAAGTGAGATTTCCAGAAGGAGTCGATCTCCTGCGCTCCTGCCATTTCAGAGAGCTCTGCTGAGAAGATGAGGCAAGGGTGGAGGGTCATGGAGGTCAAGCCTTGCAGAGCTTGACCTGGGAGCATCTCCAACCCCAGGGCTGTCTGGCTGGGCCTGTGAAAAGCACAGTTAACTGATGTACTGGCACCAACTGAATAGTGGCAGCGGGCTCGAGAGACTGGTGAGTGTCACCCGCATATTACGGTTGAGGCTCCGAGTGTCCAGATCCCTGCCCTCGAAAGCTGCACCCCGATTTCTCTCTGGGGGGATTTTACCGTGATCCATGGGTCTGTGGTAATTATGCTGGATCTTCTGACTTGTGGCCCATTGCTTCTGCCATCATTTACGAACCAGGCCGTGCCAGGGTTTGCCGGGTCGCAGTGCACGTGCAGCCAGCACTGGGCGGGTCTGGTCTGCATAGGAGTATTAGCTCGTCCGGTTAGTGATGTTTGTTCACAGAATGCTTCTCACTTCAGGATTTACTGCTAAATACACATCCTCTTAAATCAGTTTAACTTCAGATAGTTAGATGGGTGGTTATTAATGCCATTTTCTTTATAGCTTCCTCCCCCCCACACACAGAAGCATTTCCCTGTTCCAAATTCTAGTGTATGCAGAGCTACTTCTGCATAGACCTTTGTGTGCCTTTTTATTTATTTTTGAGAGAAAATTCCACGCAGGCTCCTCAGTGTCAGCATGGAGGCTGACACAGGGCTCGAACTCACAAACTGAGATCATGACCTGAGCTGAAGCTGGATGCTTAACTGACTGAACCACCCAGGTGCCCCTTTACATACCTTTTCCACAACCATAAATTTAGGAGTCTGATGTGTTGGTAGAATGGTGAGAAAATAGAGTTGGACAGAGTTAGAGGTTCTGCAGTCTTCACCTAGGTGAAGCAAACACAGGACCGCGATGGGACTCAGCAAAGTCTCAGTGATGATCCAAGACTGCCCCTTCCCCGCCCCCCCCCCTTTTTTTTTGCCACAAAGCAAACCACATGTGAGCATTTCCTTGCAAGTGCAGGGGAAGAAGGTCTTGAAAGGTTTCTGGTAAGAGATAAATACGTTGCCCATGTATCTAAGGTGAGAACGTTGCTGCTCTCGTGAGGGATCTTTGGAGGGTCAGGAAATCTGTGCACACAGGCTGCTGCAGAGACGCCCCCACGAATGTCCCGGGGGTCTCCGCCCTGAGTACTCTCCCCTGCGCGGTCCCACAAGCTTGGAGGAGGGTGAGGTCTCCCCTCACACGTGTTCTTTCTGTTTCAGGCTTGAACAAACCTTGCCCAGTTTTGATCCCTTCAAGACTTTGCCACAGCCTCTATCACACATCTGTTTTTCTCGAAGAAAAAAATATAATAAAAATGTTTTACTCTTTTACACTGTATAATTTTAAGATATAGTGTGTTATTTGTGAACGCATGGTCTGACCTTTCTGTACAGTTTGGAGATATTTTCAAACGAAACATAAAAGATGTCAATAAAACCAAGAGAGTGAGTATTTTTATACTAAACATTTTAAGTATGAGAGGACGGGTGATCTTACACTGGGTTGGATCAGTTTTTTGTGCTTGACTTTTGAATGCTTGTTATTAAAAATATCTATTTTTTTCTTCCAAGCCGCATGTTTGAGGCATGTTTTTAAACGTTACAAAATTTCCGGAATCGTATTGTGAATGTATAGCCATCTGCTTGCCTGGCTCGAGTCCAGGGGACGTGAGGACCGTGGTGTGAGGGACAGAGCTGCATCCTGCAGCCCTAGGCACATCTCCCCCGTTGTAGTAGGACCCTTCCCCAGGACGGTCAGAAGCGTCCAGGAGCTTCTACACGATGGCATGCCGACAGCTGGACAAAGAGGCCTGGCTTTGGTCCGCACTCCCGATCAGAGCGGGCCATCAGCCCCAGCAGCTCCGGAGGAGCCCACGCAAACGGGGGGCCCAGGTTTGGGTTCTGCTGTTTCCTTACATTGATCCTGCTCCCCCCAACTGGCACTCGCGCCTCCCCCAGCGGGCATGGGGGAAGGGAGGTGGCCTTGCCCAACCTGCCTGGCTGCCAGCGGCGGCTCTGATCTCCCAAGTGATTTTGCAAAACGTTGGTTGAACTGAGCTGGCGTTCCTGAGTCTGGGCAGCACCGTGCCGGATGAAGCACTTAGAACGTTCTCCCAAAGCCTGTGTGCTCACTGTGACGCCAGCCGCCCCTGTGCCCACGGAGAGAGGGCGCGGCCGGTGGGTGTCTGCAGTGAACACCGTGGAGCTAGCTAGCTTCGCAGCCTCAAAACCAGTCTGGTGCAGAGCCTGTGACCACTCGGTCTCTCCCCCTTGTGGCCAAAGAGCTGTGTGTAAAAAATAAATCCTCTGCTGCTAATACAGCTAAACATCACACAAGCCTGCTCGCTCACAACGTGAAGCCTTAAATGTTTTAATGATTATGTGGTTGGTTCTGGGATGTGTGGGGTCGTTTCTTTTCCATTAGAAATAAAGATACCAAGAAGCTTTTAAAGGTCATTACAAAACCAGTGGACAAGAAGAGCCAGGGTTGAGGTGGTTCAAGCCCTGCTAGGCCTTCAGCACCGCCTGGCCCTTGGGGGAGACGGACATACGGTTGTTTCTAAGGAAGACAAATTCAACACAGTCCACTATACTTTCATACGCTGTTTAAAGGTACTTCACCATTGTCATTTTTAAAAATGAAGTGCTTCTCCCAGCTGTCGCACTGTTGCTTGGCAAATTCCTTTCTGCAAGCTCAAGCGCGTCGCCCCGCTGCGGCCCAGCGGATTCCTTTCTCGTTCTCGGCGCCGACAAAGCTGAGAACAGACTGAGGAAGAGTCTAGGGATGGGAGAGCCGGAGACGACGACTGGGGGCACGCGGTGACACGCTGACGCCCGAGACCCCTGCCCCTTGCGGCTGCCCTCCCAAGGCGGCAGGAAGGCTCCCAGTAGATCCCACCCTTCCCGTGCCTGTTGCTGCACCCAGCAGCCTCTGCATCCACCTCAGCCTGCAAAGCTTTAGCTCAAGAGGATCTGAAGCCGATGAAGGAAGGGTCTGGTTGGTTTTCTGCCAACTTAAATATACTAAGTGATGAGCCAGGAATCGACAGCAATGACAATGAAGTGATTTGCGTCACCACCCCCCTCCCCCCAAAGGGAGGGGAAAATCCGCAGTGCTCAATTCTGAGTAACGGCGACAGTGAGCAGTAACTATTTGGTAGTCTTGGTGGGTGCTGATTGCCTCCCTTTTGCAGAGGGACTGTCCACCAGAAGCAGGGGCCAGGCACGCCCCCCAATGTCCCAGAGCCCCGGTAGGACCATAGGAAACCAATACACAGCCCCCCTCAGCCCACCTCGACCACCACACCAGCCAGGCAGCCTAGGAACAGAGGGCGGCTCGCCCCGAAGGAGAGTCCCTCTGCAGCCTGCCTCGGGCCACCCTGCCCTGGACGTCACCACCACGTCCGCGGCTTTTTCACA